TCTTCAGGTCACTGTCGCGCATTAGAATGTGCCCAGCCTTGTGCTACGGAGCAGGGTTTAGGTGGTGAGATGAGGAAAATGCATTTCCTGGCCATTTTGAGTGATGATTTCTCTCTGGCGGGAACATGGTTAAAGGCAGAGGCTGACCCTGGGGCACGTGGCGGGGAGCCACTCTCCCGATCCAGTGCTCCCCAGCCCCACCGAATTTACTGACTTAAAGCAGACAGGGGTGCTTTCACCGGGCTGCTGAGGGGCAGTGACGGGCACTGCTTGGGGGCCGAATGCCAGCTGGAGCAGGGCCCAGGGGGGAGCAGGTGTATCAGGGGCAAAAGGCAGGAAGAGGCCCCGGGAAGGAACTGACCTGGGCTGAGCCCACGGACAGAACTCCGGGGTGAGGTGCTTCAGCTGAGGTGAGCAGGTCGGGTGGTCTGAGCCTTTCTGACCAGAACCACGGGGCTAAGCAGGGCTGCACTGGGCTGCTCCGGGCGGCCTGAGCTGAGCTGAACTGAAGCAGTTTGAATTGAGCTTTCTGAGCTGAGAGGGTGAGCTGGACTGGGCTGGGTGAGCTGAGCTGGGTGAGCTGGGCTGAGCTGAGCTGGGCTGAGCTGAGCTGGGCTGAGCTGGGTGAGCTGAGCTGAGCTGGGTGAGCTGAGCTGAGCTGAGCTGGGTGAGCTGAGCTGAGCTGAGCTGGGTGAGCTGAGCTGAGCTGAGCTGGGTGAGCTGAGCTGAGCTGAGCTGGGTGAGCTGAGCTGAGCTGAGCTGGGTGAGCTGAGCTGAGCTGAGCTGGGTGAGCTGAGCTGAGCTGAGCTGGGTGAGCTGAGCTGAGCTGAGCTGGGTGAGCTGAGCTGAGCTGAGCTGGGTGAGCTGAGCTGAGCTGAGCTGGGTGAGCTGAGCTGAGCTGAGCTGGGTGAGCTGAGCTGAGCTGAGCTGGGTGAGCTGAGCTGAGCTGAGCTGGGTGAGCTGAGCTGAGCTGAGCTGGGTGAGCTGAGCTGAGCTGAGCTGGGTGAGCTGAGCTGAGCTGAGCTGGGTGAGCTGAGCTGAGCTGAGCTGGGTGAGCTGAGCTGAGCTGAGCTGGGTGAGCTGAGCTGAGCTGAGCTGGGTGAGCTGAGCTGAGCTGAGCTGGGTGAGCTGAGCTGAGCTGAGCTGGGTGAGCTGAGCTGAGCTGAGCTGGGTGAGCTGAGCTGAGCTGAGCTGGGTGAGCTGAGCTGAGCTGAGCTGGGTGAGCTGAGCTGAGCTGAGCTGGGTGAGCTGAGCTGAGCTGAGCTGGGTGAGCTGAGCTGAGCTGAGCTGGGTGAGCTGAGCTGAGCTGAGCTGGGTGAGCTGAGCTGAGCTGAGCTGGGTGAGCTGAGCTGAGCTGAGCTGGGTGAGCTGAGCTGAGCTGAGCTGGGTGAGCTGAGCTGAGCTGAGCTGGGTGAGCTGAGCTGAGCTGAGCTGGGTGAGCTGAGCTGAGCTGAGCTGGGTGAGCTGAGCTGAGCTGAGCTGGGTGAGCTGAGCTGAGCTGAGCTGGGTGAGCTGAGCTGAGCTGAGCTGGGTGAGCTGAGCTGAGCTGAGCTGGGTGAGCTGAGCTGAGCTGAGCTGGGTGAGCTGAGCTGAGCTGAGCTGGGTGAGCTGAGCTGAGCTGAGCTGGGTGAGCTGAGCTGAGCTGAGCTGGGTGAGCTGAGCTGAGCTGAGCTGGGTGAGCTGAGCTGAGCTGAGCTGGGTGAGCTGAGCTGAGCTGAGCTGGGTGAGCTGAGCTGAGCTGAGCTGGGTGAGCTGAGCTGAGCTGAGCTGGGTGAGCTGAGCTGAGCTGAGCTGGGTGAGCTGAGCTGAGCTGAGCTGGGTGAGCTGAGCTGAGCTGAGCTGGGTGAGCTGAGCTGAGCTGAGCTGGGTGAGCTGAGCTGAGCTGAGCTGGGTGAGCTGAGCTGAGCTGAGCTGGGTGAGCTGAGCTGAGCTGAGCTGGGTGAGCTGAGCTGAGCTGAGCTGGGTGAGCTGAGCTGAGCTGAGCTGGGTGAGCTGAGCTGAGCTGAGCTGGGTGAGCTGAGCTGAGCTGAGCTGGGTGAGCTGAGCTGAGCTGAGCTGGGTGAGCTGAGCTGAGCTGAGCTGGGTGAGCTGAGCTGAGCTGAGCTGGGTGAGCTGAGCTGAGCTGAGCTGGGTGAGCTGAGCTGAGCTGAGCTGGGTGAGCTGAGCTGAGCTGAGCTGGGTGAGCTGAGCTGAGCTGAGCTGGGTGAGCTGAGCTGAGCTGAGCTGGGTGAGCTGAGCTGAGCTGAGCTGGGTGAGCTGAGCTGAGCTGAGCTGGGTGAGCTGAGCTGAGCTGAGCTGGGTGAGCTGAGCTGAGCTGAGCTGGGTGAGCTGAGCTGAGCTGAGCTGGGTGAGCTGAGCTGAGCTGAGCTGGGTGAGCTGAGCTGAGCTGAGCTGGGTGAGCTGAGCTGAGCTGAGCTGGGTGAGCTGAGCTGAGCTGAGCTGGGTGAGCTGAGCTGAGCTGAGCTGGGTGAGCTGAGCTGAGCTGAGCTGGGTGAGCTGAGCTGAGCTGAGCTGGGTGAGCTGAGCTGAGCTGAGCTGGGTGAGCTGAGCTGGGTGAGCTGAGCTTGGTGAGCTGAGCTGGGTGAGCTGATCTGGGTGAGCTGAGCTAGTGTCTAGTTGAGTCTGTATTCGCTCCCCCATCACACAACCGTCCTTTGGACTTAAGGCACCCAGCTCTGGGCTCCATGTGGCAAGCCGCGGCAGTGAGGGCTGGGCTCGCAGGGGCCCCTCTCTCGTTGGCCGCTGCCCAGGGCTCCCAGGTGCTGGGGTGAGCACGGCTGCAGTGCTGAGAGGGAAGGCGGCCCTGGACTGGGCCTGGGCCTTGTGAGCCGGGTGCTGGGTGCACGTGCTCCTGCGTCTGGGGACAGCGCTGCCGGGGG